GCTTGACCTCAACTGAGCCCCCCCCTCCCACTGCCGCCCTCTCTGATCTCAATTTAGCCTGATTCACTAGACTAAAGGGCATGTACTAGCTCATTGTGTTATCCAAGCTCATTATGTTGGGTTCCTGAAACCTTAGGCTGTCAAACTCATATCTACTAAGAATTGGATTGAGATTTGTCACCTCATCTCACTGATAGTAGAGCAGCCATCACATAAGCGATGGAAGAGATCATCATCCCACCAGCCATGAGTGGGGCCTTAAGACCAGGTCTCAGCATTGCCAAGTTGGTGCACCGTTGAGCTACATCATACAGACAGACACCTCCATAGAAATTCATGGCACAGAACTTGAGCTGGTTTTGTGGCCTTTTCCATCTGGGCTGCAGATGCTGACTTGTACCACAATGCAGCTGGTGATTGTATCATCAGGCTTCCCTGATACAATAATATATTCTGTGAAGCGCATTAAGATGCCTCTTAAGACGTGATAAGGCGCTATATCAAATGCAAGGATTATTATTATGGCAAGCTTTTAATTTTGAATTGTTAAACTGGCTGACTTTAGCTTGCTGACTTTTCAAGGTAAAGGTTGCTAAATTCTTTACCTTGTAACTTGATGCTTGTGTGTGGGTTTGTGTGACCGCAACGTCCTATTATTCTGATGTGCTTGCATCACTCAATGTCATACACTTGACCTAAAATGTATCGTAATTCCCTTTACAGGGCTTTGAAGCTCAGTCAGCAAGTTCACATTAGGTTCCCAAAGACACATCGTAGAAGAACGAGAGCTCTTCATGCTGACATTTGAGAGGTCTATAGCAGGGTGGCCCAACCTTTTGGCTGCTCAGGTCCAGATGCCCTATTTGAGAAAAGTTTGCGGGCCACATAAACAACTTTTTTTTTGTAGTTCCCTACCAGAAACATAACATTTACTGGTTATGGGAGGAACAGGTGGGCCAGGTGAAAAGGAGGGGTGGGTGGCGGATGCAGCCCATGGGCCGCCAGTTGGACCGCCCTGGTCTATAGAAGAGAGAAAGTGAACTCTGAACAATATTACACGCGAGGGCAGCCAGTCACAGGTAGCAGTGAAGGATTTGGGGAGAGGTAGTAAGCGGTGTCTTATTGGAGTTGAGATGGCTCCAAGGTAACTTGCTTGGCAAACAATGTCAGAATCGAGGCAACTCTTTGTGACGGTTCCCGATTCCTGAGCCAGATGGGTCCGCAGTACTCGGGGTACTGGTAATGACAGACCGGCGAAGCTGGCTAGTTGGCGTGGAGACAGGGATTCTTCCCACCCGGCTCCTTTTAACCCTGAAAACCAAAGGTAGAGTAGAGTGAGTGGTCCTACCTCTGGGAAGCTTGCCAGACAGTGCTCTCAATGGCAAACTATGCGTTGTATCTAATACACTTTGGAATTAATTAAGCAGGGTGCGTCCATCCAGGGGAGAGTGCACGTGGAAATTACCGTGTATAAATAGCAGGTGTGTGTGGCCTCTGTCTGATTCGGAGATACTTAAACTTGGTGATGAGTTTCTGCATATTAGACACCTGGCTGACCAAACAAAAATAACATCACAAACTGCCAATTTCTCTCTTACATTTATCCTGAGAGGTACATTGAGGGTGGATGAGAGGTTAAATACCATTAGAATATACAAACACTGGGATCCTGTAAGGGTTAACCTTTATTCGAGAGTATAAACCTAGCACTGGTTAAATCCCTGATTCTCTGCCAGGCACTCCCAAATCTTTATACGTACTAGCACGTATTACATGCCTAAGGTGCTTGTCATAGCCTGCATGCAATAGGATGGTTTGTACTTTTCCATGTTGATTGCACATCAATCTGTTGAAACTTTGTCACTAGCAGCTTAGATTAGCTTTCCAGCTCTCCCCATTCCTATCTGATTGAAACCACTTTTGGGCCTTTAAATGCAGGCATTAGTATTCTCTCATTCTTGTGAGCTGAAAATGGTCTCCAAAAGGTGGTGTGGTTAGGCCCTGGTGTCTTTCTGTTCTAGTTTCTTAGCCTGTAACTCCTTAGCACAACCTGTTCATGCACAACCACTCAGCCTTTTTTTTAATGAATTTCTGCACAGCTTGTTTTTCAGTACTCCAGGAGAAGGCAATATAAATGGCCTGTTCCTCAAATGTTACCTTGATGGCTGACTGGCTTTCTGATCCCGAATGCAATTTGTGTGCTTTTACCCTGGCTGGGTGCTGAGGCGTGAGATTTATTGCTAAATCCTTTCTGCAACCCTCCCCCCTCGATTTCCATTAACAGTGATGTGAGTGACTGATTCTCTGAGGTGCACCGTTTGCATTGGCTGTTGGGCGCTTCAGAACTCTGCCGGAAACACAGAAAACAGCACGCAAGCTGTTTTACAGAAGGCAAAATGCTGCAGATGCTGGTAATCTGAAACAAAAACAGAAGTCACCTGGAACACTTATGAGGTCAGGCAGCATCTATGGCGAGAAGAAAGTGAGTTAGTGTTTCAGGTTGATGCCCTTTCGTCAGAACTGGAGGATGTTGGAAGGCAGCAGTTTATGAGGACAAACAGAGAAGGAAGGGATGTGGCCTGAAGTCCCAGTTCCTGACTTCTGGTTTTATTTAAGCTGTTTTACAGAGTTGCCTTCAGATTGAAAACGCTTTCATATCTAATAGTGTCTGTTTTTGAACCGCCTTTCTTGTACATGGTGTTCTTTCACCAAAGGTTTGGATGGAGAAGGCCCTTCGGCCCTCTTAATCTCATCTGAGTTGGGTGGCGGTTGAGACAGTGACCTGTGAGAAACTTACATCATCACTTAGGAGGTTGGTGTGTGTCTGACATCTTTTACCAAGTGGCATTGAGCAATCTATATCCACACGCCCATAGAGACTCATATAAGTTGAGAGTTGAGTAGCAGGAGGGCAGCTCCCATCTCGCAGTCACACAGTGTTGCTGTGCCAAGAGCTACAGTACAAAGTCTCTCAGTACTTTGCTGTAATTGGCATATTAAAGCCTATGAGAGAACTTGTAAAGAGTGTCAGCCCGGAGAGCTACTGTGTTTTAATGAGGGAAGGGGACAGACAGGCTGATGTGAATTGGGGCTGTGTCTGTTCTAGAGGTCAACCATCACAAGACTGAACTTTAATGTCATTATAAACCTCTTAAATTTATCGTGAGAGGTGCATTCAGGGTGGAAAATAACTTCAAATACCTTTCATTCATCCATCCATATTTTGCGGGTAAAATGTCACCCACAAAATATACAGTCCATTCACTTTACAATATATTCTGTGAAGCGCTTTTAGACAGATGTGGTAAGGCGCTATATCAAATGCAAGGAATATTATTAATCTAATATTTTTTTGCTGAGGTTGAGTTGACTTTTTTGAACCTCGAGCAAATGGAGTCAAATTGCTGTGGAGGCGAGGTTGGCAGACCAATGAAATTAATGTCCCACTCTCAGTGGCAAGAGTGTGAGCTCAGGCCTGCAATTGCTGTGCAGAATTGCTGAGTGCAGACCTTCAGCGGTCAGAAGGGACATTTTTGAGCGGTGGTGGTGTACTTTCATAGTGCCTTGGAAAAAAAATCTGGTCACTGTGGGACACTGCTGTATGGGAGTGGCGGGGAGAGATTAACTTTCCCATTTCTCTTCTCCTCCCTCCCCGCCCCCACCAAATCTCTGAGTTGCTAATCACTTTACCATCAGATCTGGGCAAGAGAGTGAATCAGAGGGAGCTTCCTTGGGTTACTCTGGTAGCCAGTTCAGAAGGACTGGAAGCAACCTGTCATTCCAGTGGGGAAATTATTGTAAGGTGGATATGGAAGTGTCTTAACCTTCTCTTTGTTTCATTCTCACTACCCAAACTGTGTCATGGTTTCTGTCTGTTAAGTAGACAGACTTTAGTTTTTTTTCCACTGGAGCTGAGTTAAGGGATGATCTGATTGAGGTCTGTATGATTGTGAGGGGTTATAGCGTTAGCAATAGATTTTTAAATGACACACATATAAAAAGATCAAAAAAAATCTGGGGGGAGAAAAAATCTACATTCCAACCACACTAGCGGTGGTTGGAATGTTGATTTTTCTGCCACAATGTTGTGAAGCAGTGCTCATAAATAGATTTAGAAGAGGAGGAATAAAAAAGGATAGGGATATTGATCAGAAGAATGGGATTACATACAATGGCTTGAGTGAAGTGCAGACTTATCAAGTCAAATGGTCTGTTACTATAAGTTTATGAAAGCCATGTGCTATGTGGGAAATGTTCTCAAACTTGGGTGGGAATGTTTATAGTTTGCAGTATGCTTGTTTAGTCATTCCTTTCAATTTGGAGATTTCTCCCAACTTGAAGTTCACAGTCTACAATGTGACTGGTTCACTTGATATCAATAGTGTTTTGATGGGGGGAGGGAGAGAAGGTCAGATTAGATCCAATTCTTTAACTACGTTTAAGAGCACATTGGAAAATGTCAGGTTAATAATGAGATTTTCTTTTGTTAGTGCTTTGGAACCCGATTGTTAGTCGATTGGCTGATTGCTTTTCCGAATAATCCCTTAAAAATAGTAATAATAATAAATAATTTGGTCACTCTGTCCATGACTGTTTGTGGGACACTGCTGTGCACAAATTGGCTACTGGTTTCGCCCTCAAAATATACAGTCAATTCACTTTACAGTATATTCTGTGATTCGCTTTGGGACATCTCAAAGCCATGATAAGATGTTATATCAAATGCAGTTATTATTATTGTATATAAACTTCAACCTTCCTTCATTGAGTAGCTATTTATAATAATGATAATCCTTATATTTGTTGTAGAGTCTTTTGTGTCAGAAAGACTTCCCAAAGAGCATCACAGGATATTCTGTAAAGTGGAGTGACCACATATTTGGGGAAAACACAGCAACTGATTTGTGTCTTGAAACATCTTGTTAAATTTTTTGTTCAGTAGATCCTAAAGATTTCCCACTGACCATTTTTCTGCCCTACTGTTTTGTGTTCATCTCCAGGTCGTAATGAGCCTCTGAAGAAGGAGAGGCCGAAATGGAAAAGTGATTATCCCATGACGGACGGACAGTTGAGGAGCAAACGAGATGAATTCTGGGATACAGCACCTGCTTTCGAGGGCCGCAAAGAGATCTGGGATGCTCTCAAGGCAGCTGCCTACGCTACTGAAAGCAATGATCATGAACTGGCCCAGGCTATTGTGGATGGCGCCAGTATAACTTTACCCCATGGTAAGTACTGCGCAACAACAACTTAGCGCTTTATCATTTACACAGTGCCCCTCACACAGGGTCGCATCTCAGAGAGGAGCACGACCTGAGCCGGGGGATTGCGGGAGGTGACCGTAGCAAAACATTTTGGGTTCAGACCCCACATCAAGACACAGTCCAGGCTGGGATGAGAAGTGAAACTGAGAAGTCTGCCTGTTCTTTATCTGAATATTATGATCCTGTGACACTGTTGCAAAGAGAAGAGAATGTCTCGCAGTGTCCTGGCCAACAATCCTCCAGATTCATTCATTATTTATATGGACTTTTCTTTGTGAGAAATGACTGTCTACTATGTACACAAAGTCACTGCAAACTACAAGATGCAGTAGCTGGTGGTTTGAGAAGTTTCACTTACAAATGCGATAATCCTTGCATTTGCATTTCTTGCATTTGATATCGCGCCTTATCATGTCATTGAGACGTCTCAAAGCACTTCACAGTAGAGTGAATTAACTGTATTTTGTGGGCGAAACGTGGGCAGCAAAAGACATTAAGCGTTCTGAGACATTCCCTTGTGTGAAGGGCGCTATATAAACCCGCTATGTAAATGCAGATTACAGTATAATCTGAAGCGCTTTGAGACATCTTGAAGGCGTGCTGATGTGCTCTATCAAATGCAAGGATTATTATTGTAAAAGTGCAAGTTATTTCTTTAACTGGTGGAACGAGTCTTGTTGATGTGAAATTATTTCTTTCCTTGTTCAGGGTCACTGACGGAGTGCTACGATGAGCTGGGCAACCGCTACCAGCTGCCTGTGTACTGCCTGGCGCCCCCCCTCAACCTCATCACAGAGAAGAGTGACGAGGAGGCAGCAGACATTCCTGACCCCCCGGCCCACGGCAAGCACGAGTTCCAACTCAAGGTGCGCCTGTCAACGGGCAAAGATGTCAAGCTGAGCGCCAGCATGAGTGACTCCATTGGTCAGCTAAAGAGACAGCTGCACGCCGAGGAGGAGATCGAGCCAGCCAGGCAGCGCTGGTTCTTCTCGGGCCGTCTGCTGACCGACAAAATCCGGCTTCAGGAGACCAAAATACAGAAGGATTTTGTGGTGCAGGTTATAGTCAACCAGGCTCCTGAGGTTAACTGAGACCCCCCTGAGAAGCAAAACGTTTTATATATCTTATATATATTATATATATAAATATATATATATAAAAAATCATATGCAAAAACACACCACAATTATGGTGTCATTACAGACAACTACCTTCAGGGACGTGGAATACACTTGGCCAGAAGGGAACATGGCCTAGGAACAATTCAGCCATCCCATAATATGTACAGATTCCTGGCCACAAGAAGTTATCTATCCACAATATAAAGTTTGTCGCGATGGAACCTGTAGTTAATCACATCCAGTAGTTTTCGGCTAGCTGATATTTTGACTGTAAATTAAGGTGTTTTTATTTTTCTTTCTTCCCTCCCGCTATCTAAAGCCTTTCCCAGGAACCCAATCCTGTTTGGAATTTACCCACACTCTCTGGAAAAGGACTTAGATGCGCTGATGTTAAAGCTCTTTAATAACTGATATCAATGCTTTCTGCAAAATCTACATTAAGTAGTTGATTTACTCCTCCCTTTCCTCTCTCACCTCTTTCTCTCCCTTCTGCCCCCACCCCACCACTGCCCTCCCCCAACTCCATAAATCAGCATTGTATACCAGGGTTTATAAAATGAAAGGTGATCTGGGGGAGAACTTGATTGAGGTGGGACCACCCTTTGATTGGCAGATATAGGATAGGGTGTCTCTCGCCTACTGGCTTCTCCTCTATCAGTAACATGCAGCGATATAGCAGCGCTCCTCGGCTTCCAGCATCTCTCCTTTGAGCCGCTTTATCACAGATGACACCGCTTATCCTGTCCTGCATTCGTAATTCTAGACATGTTTTATTCATTGGTTTTGTGAAGACTGAAAGCTAAGGTGAGGCATATGGAGTGGGCTAGGATTGCAAGTAGGAACTTGGAGGGTGAGAATATGCTAGGTTTTACAGTTTAATCATTGCATTTCCTTTCCCCACTCACCATCAGAGAAGGGAGCATAGAACCTGGGGGTGTGGGGGGACACAGCGACAGAGAGAGGGAATATCAGTCTAGAACAAACAGTATATAGATATATTTTTGGAAGACATTTAATGAGCAGGAGAATGAGAGGGACGAGACATCTTGTTTCCTCTCTACGGGACATTAGTAGAGTTTGGGTTTTGCAGGAGTGGCTGACAATATTGGGGGAAATCTTCAGGCAACCTATTTCGGGACTGAGATGAGATCTCCAACAGTGGAAGAGTTGCAGTTTGTGGGTTAGAGAGAGCGATGGACTGAGCTGGTCTGAGCGAGGCTGTGGTCTCAGAAAAGAATCTTACTGTGGGAGTGATGTGTTAGTGAGATTCCCCCCCACCCCCTCACCTACCCCCAGTACGAACGAAATGGAAAAACTATCTGTTTGCTGACCACATAGAGATGTGGCCTGAAATCTTTAATGTGTGTGTAGCTTTGGTATGACACTGCAAGCAACAACAAATCCTGCTCCTTGGAAACCCGGCTGTGACTTTATTCTGTCTTCCTGACAATCTGTCTGCTGTATGTGTTTGGGGCGGTGGGCGGGGGGGGGGGTGCAGGATGGAGAGGCACCATTGGCCCAGGTACAAATGGTAAAGTAACATTCAGGTTCTCTGATTAGGATGGCCTCCCCAACAGTTACTACACTTGACCTGTTGAGTGATTTGAGAGATTTTCTTCTGCTGAAAATGCAAGGATTATTATCTGGGGGGTGGGGGCGGATGGGTGGTGGTGGGCTGGAGAATCGACCTCCGGGGCCAGGACCAGGTATCCCCACTAGAGATGTGTTTGTTGAGCTGTGGAAGTGGACTGCCATCTAGTGGTTTGCAGTATGTACTGCAGTACTGCTTTCGGCTTTCCCCACGGTATGCAACATGGAATTCTCCTCCTGGAAAGGCGCTGGTGTGAGTGAGTGATCAGAGCCAAGAGGCTGAAGCCATACAACAGCTTAGCTGTACTTGCCTCTCCTGTGTTCGTGTCACATCTGGCCCAGCGGGCAGCCCTCTCACTCTGGGTCAGAAGGTTGTGGGTTCAAGCCTCATTGGGATATTCCCGTCATAAGGAAAGAGTCATACAAATAGGGGACTATTTCCAGTAACTGGACCTGCAAATCCCCACGCAGTCTGCTTCAAGAGCGGAGTGCCCACAGGTCTGCAGGGTTCCAATGGGAGGAGTTCCTTATGAGCTTTCTTTAAGAATGACCGCAAACTAGACTCGATTGAACAAGGACAGCGTTCAGCAGTTCAGCCTTCAACAGCCTCACCGCATTCACCAATATTCCAGTTGATTGTAAACCACAAACCTTCCGCGTGTGGGGGGGTGGGTGGGGGAGCCCAGGTATCCATGGGCTGTTTTGGGGGTGGGGGGTGGGGGGAGAAATAGATTTAAAATGCCCTCCCGAGTCCATAATCAACCTGAATGCTGAGTCCAAGTGTGAGATGTTGTTAGGATATTCAGCCAAGCCAGCACTTGGTGATCTCTCCTCACTTTTTCTGCACAAAACAACCCAGATATTCAGAGGTTTGAGTTCTGGTCATAATGCACGAACAAAGGCTGATTATCTGCAGGATGTAAATACTAGGTCAACAGCGTATGTATATTTAGTTTCTGTGAGGCTGAAATGGATTATTATTTGAGAAGATTCTCTATTTTTTTCCCACCCTGATTGATGTAATTATATCTGTACCCGTTCTTTATAACATGTACATTTATAAAAGAAGACCTGGTCTTATTCTTTTTTTTGTATAAAGTCTTTATGCACAGAAGGCTGAGCAACCCTGCACTTGTATCGTACCCTTCATGTGGGCAAGTGGCCCAGAGTTTTAACAGTGATGAAGCCTTGACACTGAGCCAGGGAGAGAGGGGAGGTGACCATAGGTATGGTCGAAGAGGAAGGTCTTCAGATGTGATCTGAAGATGGACAACATGGATGGATTGAATCCCTTCAAAAAAATTAAAATAATAATTTGGTCACTCAATCCACGACTGTTTGTGGGACACTGAGGTACACGAATTAACTGCTACGTTTCGCCCAAATAATACAGTCAATTCACTTCACATTATGTTTTGTGCAGCGCTTTGACACGTCTCAAAGATGCGATAAGGCATTACATCAAATGCCAGGATTAATATAATTATTTGTGCCAAAGTCTCTGAGGAAATCTGCTGCCAATTTGGCTTCTCTGTACGGTTGAGTTACTGCAATTGGAAAATAAAGGCAAAGAAGGCAAAACACGATGAGGGAAAAATGCAGAAATCCAGGCAATTGTATTTTATGATTAAAGGAGGCGTTAATCAGGAATTTCATGCATCCAGTGTCAGCGCAGAGTCGGGTCAGATTATAGCTACAGCAACTCTCATTTATACAGCGCCCCTCGTGCAGGGTAGCATCCCAGAGCGCTTGACAGTGGCGGAGCACGACACCAAGCCTGGGGGGATGGAGGAGGTGACCGTGGGCATGGTCGAAGAGGGAGGTCTTCAGGCGTGACCTGAAGGTAGGGAAGGAAGAGGCAAGACGGAGGGATAGAGGAAGAGAGTTCCGGAGTTTCGGGGCTGAAAGAGCGACCATTGATGGTGGAATGAAGGGCACAAGGGACATACGGAAGGCTGGAGCCCGCGGGTTGTGGGGCAAGCAGATCGAAGAGGTAGGGAGGTGCCAGGGTATGAATTTTTCATGCTAGCTGAAGATTAATGCTCGTTCTTCTCTTGCCACGAGCCCCCCCCCACCACACACACACACACACACAAGTGCCTTCATTGTAACCTCAATGGAATAATGATTATATACCAGAGTTTGTCCCATGTAAACAAACTGCCCGCTCAGCTTGGCAGCAAACTGGGACTCCCACTGGGATCTCTTTTTATCCTGTTTCTTTTGAAGAGTTCAAACGGTAAGGATTTTGGACAGAAGATTTTATCCAATGCTGCGACTGCAGGACTGCTTTAATACCTGAAAACTGCACAATTGCATCCCGGTGAGACTTGTGTTATTGAAGCCCAATTTTTATAATAGCTTCGTATCATTTGCTCTATTTATTAGTACTTTTTTTTAAATAAAAAAACATTTGAGTCGAGCTCATGGGGACTCAGCTGGTACTCAGCAATATGTCAAGCCGGCCTGTCCAATGAACTTCCAGAGGAAAGAAGGATCCCATGGGTCAATGGGAATTCTGACCGTGGCTTCCGATTTACACTCATCAAGGGAACAAACCCACTGGTGGAGTCGATAGAGCTGCAGCTGTTGGAGGTGGAGGCTTAGTTGACCCCTGTCCTTCCCAGAGTTAAAGAGGAGAAAGCCAGGGTTTATGCTCCTGGTCCATCCAGATCCCGGGAATTGTACCCCCAGCGAGAGGAGGTCAGACCAGAAGCAGAGAGACGTCTGCCAGTGGAGAGGAAATGATTGGACACACTATAATTAAACGCAATGCTTTCAAACACGATTACTTTTATTTATTTCCTCCCCTTCCCATTTCATGTAATTTGTCAAATATTTTTTATTAAATAAAGACTGCATGTATGTTTCACCCACAAAATACACAGTCACTACACTTTGCTGTATATGTCTCAACAATGTAAAGGTGCTATATCAAGTGCAAGTATATTATTATGTATCCCTGTAGTTGGACTGCTGAACACTTAAGTACTTCGAGATGCCCTCTTGGTTTGCAAAGCGCTGCATAAATGTAAATTGTACTGTTTTGTTGCACACACAGTATGATATATCCATTTTGGACCAATCTCCAATCTTCCATCTCTGCTTTCATGTGTCCCCTTAATAGAGAACACTTGTTTCAGTTTCCTGGCAGTTAGTCATTCTGTCACTAACAGAAGTCTTTGAAACCTCAGCTACGAGTATCTTGTCTCTGCAAGTGTTTACGTGGTGTACACTGTGGATTTATTTAGACTTTCCGCATTGATATATCAATCTGTTTGATGTTCCCAGTAGTATGTGTGTATGTGTGTATATACATATATATATATACGTTTCCCCCACACAAAATATAGTCAATTCACTTTACAGTTTATTCTGTGAAGCACTTTTGAGACGTCTATAAGACGTGATAAGGCGCTATGTCAAATGCAAGGATTATTATTATTAAATGTCTGAATTATCCCTCGTTTTGCAGTAATCTACTTGGACTGTTTCATATGTTGTTGTCGTCATGGCATCCTGTCAGGTACCATTAAATGGTTAATGTAATGTTTTATTTGTCATCCATTAAAGAGAGGGAGAGAGTGCGCTCCCACCAAAGCAGTAAAATTTAGGTTTGCTATACTTGATGTAGACCTGAATGTCTTATTGTGTAGGAAGGCCTATAAATCTGTTAAGGTTTGGTACTATCATGGAGATAATTTTTTTCATATCTGTGGACAAACTGGGATATTCATGTCAATCCTTGTTAGTGGAATCCTGTAGCTCAGTGGTTAGAGCACTAACCTCGCAAGCGAGAGACCTGGGTGTGATTCCCAGGCAGAGCGAAACCATTGGGCAAGTTTCCTTGTGTCACACACCTGATAATAATCCCTCAAAAAAAATAATAAATTAGTCACTTCAACCCACCACTGTTTGTGGGACGCTGCTGTGCGCAATTGGCTGCTGCGTTTCGCCCACAAAATATACAGTCAATACATTTTACAGTATATTCTGTGAAGCGCTTTGAGACGTCTTGAAGGTGTGATTAAGCGCTAGGTCAAATGCAAGGATTATTATTACTGTTGTTATATTATGACGGCTGGTGTCATTTTGCGCCCCCGACCAATCCATTTCCCTGCCACTCCTAATTCTGGATTCTCACACTCAATTTTCCAGTCTGCCTGCCGTCGCTGGTGTTTTTAAACAGTCCGCATGTGTTTTAAGAGATTTAGATCTATCGTAAATAAGCTGCTAAATGATGGATTTCTTTGTTGGTTTATTTGTTTTTAAGCCAAAGATAAATGCCACATATGTTTCACAGCATCGGGCATAGTAGTGGGAGCTTTGAAAACAAAAGATGGCAAAAATAACAACAGCTGTGGGCTTTTGCCGTTGAATCACTGCCACTTAACATTCAGAGGCTGTTGTGCACACACTGTATCAGATCGTTATATAATAATAATAATCCTTGGATTTGATATAGCGCCTTATTACATCTTCGAGACGCCTCAAAGCGCTCGTCCCCAAGTCTGCTTTCATCAGTGCACACGGATGCTTTTTCCTTTCAATCCGCCCCCAGGTGGAATGTAGCAAACCAGGCCCCGATAGTCTGATAATAATAATAATAATACTCGCATTTGGTACAGCGCCTTATCACGTCTTCCAGCAATCTCAAAGCGCTTCACAGAATACACCGTAAAGTGAATTGACTGTGTATTTGTGGGCGAAATGTGGCAGTCAACTGCCTAACCCTAACCCTAAGCGTCCCACAAACAGTCGTGGATTGAGTGAATTTTTTTTTGAAGGGATTATTACCTCCGGAAAAGGAATCCATCAATCAACTAACAACCGGGTTCCTACTTATTGCTGGGCAAACAGGCGTGGGGAGTAAGGAAACTTGCCCAACGTTTTGCTCTGCTATACATCTGTATGGGTACATCTTTACCCATATGCTATGACCAACAGGGGGCGCCACAAGCTACCAGGAGATGCAGAGAGAACCAGACTGGAGGTGTGGGCAGGTTCTCCAGCAGTGGGGCATCTGGAAATGAACCGCGTTACCTAACACGACAACAATTTACATTCCATTTAGAAAAGAGTTCAACAATTGATAGATTTACAATGCAAATGTACAATTTGCATACGCCGGCGCCTCCGTATCCCTCCAACCTCCTCACTCCCCACTCCGCCAGCCGCTGCCTCCGATCGCCGGGCTCCGGCCTCCTGCTTGTCCCTCGTCCCCTCCGCTCCACCATTGGCGGCCGTGCTTTCAGCCACTCCGCCCCAAAACTCTGGAACTCGCTCCCTCCGTCCACCGCCTTCCGCATTTCCAGATCATGTCTGAAGACCTACCTTTTTGACTGTGCCTACAGTCATCTCCTTCCCCCCCTCACCCCCCCCAGCCCCCACCCCCCCCCCACCCACCCCGGCTTGGGTCAGGATCTGCCAATGTTAAAGCCTCTGAGCCCTTACGCTGCGTGAAGAACGCTATATAATTGCAAGTAGTTACTGTTGTTTATTTAGCTGCTTTTACGTTGGAAGAACGTCTCAAAGACACTGACTGTGTATGGTAGACTTGCGCGGCACTGAGCAGAAAGCTGCAGGATCTTGTCCAGTCTGTGCTCAACGCGCTGATCTATGGCAGGGCAGCAGTTGGAGACGCTGCTATTGGCCTGCGCTCA